AAGAATAGAATAGAATAGAATAGAATAGAATAGAATAGAATAGAATAGAATATTTTTATTGTCATTGTGTATCTCATAACGAAATTAAGTACTGTCCACAGTGCACACTACACATAAGTAAAAACCACAAGTAATATTAAGGAGTCAGTGCAACCTTCAGCAATATTCAGAAGTAAGGTAAATATCATTGAGTTAAATAAGCTTACTCTAAAGGTAATATATAAATTACAATTATAGTCTACCCTTTCTAAATCTCATTCAACAAACCTGGCTGATTCTTTCCTGAAAACACATTTCCCATTCTTCTCACCATCTCAGTTTCACCATTTTAATTCAAATGTTGTAATGAAGTCTTCTACAAAATAAGTGAATTAATATTTGGTTTTTGCTTTGTTTATTTAAATTTTTAAACCCTGAAGTCTTCTGCTTATTACAATTATATTTTGTTTTTATGTTTACTGTAGAGTTTTTATACTTCTATGACCTGTTTTTAGAAACTAGTTTTAAAAAACAGAAGAAAGAAAACAAAAAGACAAATGGGTTTTCAAGCACGTTTTCTCTTAAACATAACTGTTATTTTAAAGTTCCCATAGGTGAGGAGAAAGGTTTTGAAATATTCAAGTAAAGTTTCCTAAAGGAGGGGAACAGATTGATGCATGACCTAATGATTCTTCATATGCTCAAGACATTCAAATTCTGGAAAAAAAAGGTAAGGTGTCAACATAGGTAACTGATGTCAAACTTGGATTTTCCTGTGTGCAAAAAAAAAAAAAGTTGCTGTTTTTCCTCCAGTGAATTTTGTATTTATAGCTTCTCTAAAATACTGAAACTGGATTGGGAAAACCAGATAAGATTTATGGGGGGGGGGGAATAATATTTTATCATTTCTTGATGGGTTTGGAAGAACTCTATTAGACAGAGCAGAAGAACTGAAACAGTTGATGACCCTTACAGAGAACAAGATGGATTACAGAAACCACAACCTGTAAAGATTACTGTTTATGTTGGAATGTTCTAGTAGCAGTAGAAAGGGGTGACCTTGGAGCCCTTATATGTATGTAGAATTTAGAAGGATTGGGCCAGAACATCTTAAAGTTACCCCATGTTGTTAACAGATGCGGCATTTCAGCTGTAAAGATCAGAGTATGATTATTATGGCTTTCTGAATCATTTCGATGTTACAGTTCTGGGAGAATATAACCCATAACCTTGATTATAGTATTTCAGGGCTCTTTTGTAATCTTGTGGCCGGGACTACAATGATCACTATAGTTGTGCATGCCAATAAAAGATACTTCATTATATCAATCAAAAAAATGCTTTGTTTCCTTGTTTGAAGTAGGTATTTTTTCCACAATAGTTTATAAAACTCAATTGGTGCCCTATACTATTTTGGTAAGTATTTTTCCACCTATTCAGGACATAAAGTAGCACTGTACCTTTCAGAAAAGAAACAAGGAGAAAATTAATATACAAGTGATAAGCCAAAGAAATGAACATTTTTTTCAGATGTACGGTTCTGCATGGTATATTGCTTTATACAGGACAGAAATATAAACAGGAAGAAAGGAAGTTATTTACCCTAGATCCAGTCCATCCTAAGAGAGCAAATGCATAGTGTTCGAAAGGGGTAACAACCAGATCCACACGAATTGCTTTCCAGTCTTTTGTTTCTTCTTCAGCGAAAACCTTTGATCTGACAGCACTTCCTTTGTTCACTCCTTCCTTATGGACTTTTAAAATTGCAAAGCACTTCTGAAAATGGTCTAAAGCATCGACTTTTCTGCTTGGCAGCTTCGTATTTTCAAATGTTGATTCAATAAGATCATAATATAAGAGCAATTCCTAGAAGAAAACATATTTCATATATTATTATTATGCTGAGAGCCAATGTGAGGTGATTGTTAAGGTGTTTGCATTAAGTCATCCTCAGCATGAAGGTATCTTGTGTGACTTTGGATCAGGCACTCTATCTTAGCCCTTGGCTCCTAGGACTGTAGTTGTGTGGAAAAATTGGAGGAGGAGATGATATTCCACCTTGCCATAAGCAGCTGAAGGCAAGGTAGAATACCAACAAATTAATAAAATAAAGTATTAATTATGTTATAACTATACTGTTACTTTAATTATCTAACCCATATGTTTCACAGCATATGTATATGCCATAGCAGTTTATTGCCATGTGGGATGAAAAACAATCATTTGCAGACAGCCGTAAGTCTAGTGCATATACCTTTGGGAGGTCTTGGATTCAACAGAATTTCAAAATACATATTGCAAAGAATCTTACTGGTTGGGCAAAAGAAAACATTCCTATAACATTGTCAGCATTCCCTAAATAAATATGAAGCTGGCAACAAAAGAATCACATTGTTATCCATGGAGGCTTTTGATAATCATGTGATTTATGAACAGTGGTTCTGAGCTATTATTCTAAGGATTGGAGCTTTAATAACTTGAGAGAAACAATTATTATAACTATGCTAAAATGTTTTTTTCCCAGAAATTATTCACATATAACCTTTCATGTTTTGATGGGTAGAAGCTTTCTACTTGAACAAATATGAAACTGTCTTCACAGTGCGGAATGTGATCCTAAGTGATTACACTCCGAATCAAACATTAGAATCTCAAAAGACAACACCTTTTGATGTAGCAGTCAAGAAAATACAGTATTTTTCTGCATCAGTAGAAAATAATGTAGAGCTTACAAGATGAAAAAATAAGTCCATAGTTTATCATCAAAGTTACACAGCACATTATAGGATTATATGTAGGACAGCCTAGAGTCTTAAGCCCTTAATAGCAAAGATTACATATTCAAATATGTTGAAAATAAAGTTACTAAATATTAATAGCTAAGATTCATATTACTCCCACACAGGGCTTTTTTTCTCGGAGAAAAGGTGGCGGAACTCAAACCTGGCCACGCCCTCATCAAACCCTAGGACCGCCCCTTTAGAGAACAGGAATGCAAGTAAAATTTGGGAGGGGCTATTTCCGGTGTGGGAGGGGCTATTTCCGGTGCGGCCGGCCCGGAAAAAGGTGCCGGAACGCGGTTCCGCCGCGTTCCGGCTGAAAAAAAGCCCTGCTCCCACATATCATAATTCAAAAAGCAACTGTATATTTTTCTAATAACTGAGCCAAAGCTTCTCTCCATGTTTTTCATATGTGAAATTTAGAAGAAAGAATACAGATTGCCAAATATCATTAGGCTGGCAATTTCCACTATTCCATTACAGTATGCCTACAAAGCTTGCATGCTATAAATACTTATAGCTTTCAGTATAGAAGGTGTCAAACTTAGACTAGGGACATTAATTTAAAATTAATGCTTATTTTCTGTTCCAATGGAAGTTCCTGAGTATGTGACAATACGCTGTACATACTGCTTAGTTGCTAAATTTCAGGCAATAGCGCATTGGCTTGAAAGGAGAGTCTAGGTTCTAGCATGCATAGCGCAGCAACAACATATTTGGGGAAAAATTGAGTTTCTTTTTTTCCTAAGCCTAATTCTTTTATGGCAAATGACAGTACTGTCTTTACCAAAAACAGAGAATGCTGAATGTGGGATGAGAATATTTATGACTAGTAACCTTGTCTACTTCTTCATTCTGTTGAAAAGTGTTATGCGTCAGACTTGATTAACCAAATCCATGATGGGTGATAAGCCAGTATTATGGATCTGCTGATGATAACCAACTTGGAATATAAAAGAAGATACAAATTAACAAGGGGAAGGAGGAAAAGGTTATGTGATCCAATTGTTTGTTTGTTTGTTTGTTTGTAAGAGAAAAGGAAACCATGTGAAAATCTGAATGAAAGCAGCCTTATTTGTGGGCTGCATTTGATGACAAAAATATAGATAAGGCTGTGAAGTTTTGATTATAAATGAAAGAACCAAAGCACATGTCACAAAGAATCAGTTGGTGTCATCTAGATTGCCACATGTATTTATTTCATTTATTTATTATTTCACTAACTTCTATGCCGCCCTTCTCCCCACGGGACTCAGGGCGGCTCACAGCATGTTAAAAAACAACACAAAAAACATTTCCCCTATAAAACCAATTAAAAACCAAATATATTAATGGCTGTGTCATTATTAAAATCTTTAAAAATTATTCCCTATTTAAAATTCACCCTAGGTCAGTCCCGCTTGTTGAAAGAGCCATGTCTTGAGGGCGCGGCGGAAGGTTAAGAGATCCGGGATCGTCCGGATCTCGGGGGGTAGTTCGTTCCAGAGGGTGGGGGCACCCACAGAGAAGGCCCTCCCCCTGGGGGTCGCCAGCCGACACTGCCTGGCCGACGGCACCCTGAGGAGGCCCGCTCTGTGGGAGCGTACCGGTCTGTGGGAGGGAATCTGTG